CAATCCCTTTTTTAAAAATTTATTTATTTATTTGATAGATCACAAGTAGGCAGAGAGGCAGGCAGAGAGAGAGGGGGAAGCAGGCTCACCGCTGAGCAGAGAGCCTGATGCGGGGCTCGATCCCAGGACCCTGAGACCATGACCCGAGCCAAAGGCAGAAGCTTAACTCACTGAGCCACCCAGGCGTCCCAACGTGAACCCTTTCAAGTAATAGTGCTTCCCACTGAGAATCACGTAATAGGTTCTCAGGACAACAGTAGAACTTCCCTTGTAATGTGTCTGTCCTATTTCAAGAATCCTTCTGTAGCAGCTACGTCAAACACATACCATCTTCTACTGCTCCTCACGTGTTCTGCTCCCTTTCATCCTCCTCAGTGGTGGGTGGTATTATTTACAGTCTGATTAGAGACTTCCCTTGAATATGTTCCTCATATGGGTCACGTAGGTAATATAGTCTCTAAGTCTGTATATATCTGCAAATTTTTTTTTTTTTTTTGACCCTGGCAGGTAAAATCTTTGGGTAAAACATTCCCTTGTTCCGGTTTATTCTTTTGTTTTTGTTTTGTTTTTTAAAGATTTTATTTATTTATTGGACAGAGAGATTACAAGTAGGCAGAGAGGCAGGCAGAGAGAGAGGAAGGGAAGCAGGCTCCCCGCTGAGCAGAGAGTCCGATGCGGGGCTCGATCCCAGGACCCTAGGATCATGACCTGAGCCAAAGGCAGAGGCTTTAACCCACTGAGCCATCCAGGTGCCCCGTTCCAGTTTATTCTTTATCGTAGTCTGTGGCTGCCCTGTACTGGCTTACTGCTGCAGGTGACTGGCTCCATGCCCATCCGATCCATTTGCTTGGGAGGTAACTTGTTTTGTTTTGTTTTTGGCCAGAAGTTTGTACGAAGTCCTCTTTTTCCTTGGTATTGATCGATTGCATAGAATGTGCCTAAATGGGTCTTCCTGCACTGCATCGCCTTCATCCTTCAATTCTCTTTTCAACATGTAGATTTAGGCCTTTCCTCAAGTGGGACAATTTCTCTTCTGTTACTTGAAAGCTTATTCTTTCTGCTTGTTGTTCTCTTCCAACACGTCTGTTAGCCACGTGTCGTATATCCTTGATTTATCTATCACCCTTTTCTTCCCTTATCACCCTTATGTTTCCGCGTGCGTGCCCCTCTGTGCTTTGAAATATTTCTTCCTTTAGATCAAGCTGTAATTTGGGTCTCGACAGTGGCCATGCTGTTCTTTAATTATATTTCTAATTTAATTCTAAAATCATAAGAGTGTTAGTGCCAGCCAGACTTATCTGTCTTTGCACACTACGTTGTGTTTTAGCTCCAGTTCGTATTCTCCAGTAGCCTGTCTCGTCAGGTGCTTACTGTGTTCAAGCATCTTCTCTTTTATTGGGCCCCTTACATGCATCTATATTTGACTTTATCAGATTATTAGTGGCTTCTTCCTTTTAGGTGAAGAAGGGGCAGTATTAGGTGGTTAACTAGTCCCCCCCGACCGTAACCCTTCCCCCCCGCCCCCCGGTACTTCATACTCCAAGCCCTAGGCAGTCTGCTTGGGCTTAATCGGCTTAAATTGCTCAACACACCTTAACCACTGACTATCTTCAAGATGATTTATTTAACTTGGAAGTTTTGCCCAATCTTTCTCACCAGAAAGAGCACATTTTTAAGTTAGTTGACCCTTGGGGGCGTCTGGGTTACTCAGTCATTAAGAGTCTGCCTTTGGCTCAGGTCCTCATCCTGGGGTCCTAGGATGGAGCCCCACATCGGGCTCCCAGCTCCACAGGGAGTCTGCTGCTTCTGCCCTGCTTGTGTTCCCTCTCTCGCCTTCTCTTTCTCTCTGTCAAATAAATAAATAAAATCTTAAAAAAAAAATAAATTAGCTGACCCTTGAACAACATAGGGATTAACGGGGATAACCCACTGCATAGTCAAAAATCTGCATGTAACTTTTGACTCCCCAAAACTTGATACTGATAGCCTCCTGTTGACCAGAGCCTGACTGATAACAGAAGGAGCCAACTAACACATACTTTGTATGTTCTATGTACATTAAAGTAAGCTAAGAAAATATGTTAATTAAGAAGATCCTAAAGCTGGGAAAACATTTTTACAGGACTACCCTGAATATTGAAAAAAAAAAAAAAAATCTGCATATAAGGGGACCCATACAGCTCAAACTCTTGTCGTTCAAGAGTTTCTGATGTTTAAAAACCAAAGGGGCTTTTGTATTCCTTTATGAAAACTCAGCTAGAGGATTTAATTCAGCAGTGAAGCCCTCAGAGGAGATCTCTCTCAGTGTTTCATACTCTCTGTGTTTCATACCTTTGTTACTACATTCCTAATGTCTTAGCGAAAATGTGCAGCTAGGAAGGTAAGACACTGTAAACAGGGGAGAATTTCACCCACCCAGGCCCAAGTTCATTACAGTAAGTACTCTAATTAACAATTTTAAGAATCCTTGGGGTAAGTCATCAGCACGTACTAACAGGAAAAATTAGCTTTATTTAATGACAGTCTGCCAGTATCTGTGAACTTGGGAGTTTCTATTTTCATCTATGTTTGAGAGCTCTGGTCTTCATTTTAAATCTCACAAAAATAACATAGTGGGAATCAATTTAAGGCACACAGCCAGAAATACAGATAGGTTAGAAGATCTCTTACATTTCACTGGTGCAAGATCTATTGTTAACTAAGGGCAGGAGAAAAAAACATGCATTCGTGTAAAAACAGTGGCCCGTTAGCGGTGGGGTCTCCCAAAACACAAAGCACATAAGCCTTTTCTCTGTGTGAAGGGAAGAATACAGACCGTTCGACGGTGAGGCTGGGCTCCAGAAATCTGGGCCATGCAGACATCCCCAAGCCTCCAAGGGTGTGTGACAAGATTACAGTCTGTAAGTCCGTGGGGTACCGGAGCTGACGAGGAGGGCTGTGTTGGTGATAACCCCGCAGGAGAACCACAGCTCCCCGCCACCTGGCTGTCCCTCTCCGCCTCTATCTGAGCCCCTGGCTGCCGGGTACTCCCGGCTCCTGCAGGAAACCTGAAATCCGCATAGACCCTCAATCTACAAGGCGGCTGCTGTTTTCTTTCTTCCCTCCTCTGCCTCTCTGTGTGTTTCTCTCTTGCTCGACCACCCACTCCATCTCTTTTAAATAAATAGTGGACACCAGCCTGGTACACTCATTCCACCCCTCCCCAGAACACCTGCTCTGCGGGGAGCCTGCCTCCAGGCTCTGGGTGCAGAGTAATTCATGAGCTCCACTTTGGGCCCCTTGATTTCCATGCTTAGTTAGAGGAAGAGAGGCTCCCGTCCCTGCTGTGGGGTGCAGCTCCCACTCCGCCCTCTGGTACTCAGGGATGAGAGATCATCAGCTGTCTGGGGCCCCGCTCCAGGCTACAGCAGGGCTAGATTATGCCAAACATTCGTCCCCTGCTACGTGGCCCTAGGACTGTCCTGCCGGCTTGCTCTCCTTACCCTCCAAAGTCTCGGACTTGCATCTTTGGCTTCTCTGCTTTCTGAGGCTGAAGTGCAGGAATCCTGAGCCACATCCATACCCTCCCTTCCCTCTCATCCTTTGTACCGAATCATTATTAACGGTCCATCCTTGTCAAAGCAGGATAAGACTTTGCCACCTGGGGGCCATTAAGACCAAACCTTATTGCCTGTCTGACCCCGGAAGGCATTTGAGTTTGTGGCTGAATAACAAAGTTCTCCAAAATCAACAAAAGAAGACCAGTTCCTTTTATGATAGGAGAGGGAGTCTGTGAACACACACAAGGGAAAATAAACGAGCTAAGGTTGCCGTCCCCTCGCCTGAGACGGTGTAATTGCTGAGGACCTGCCCCAGTGCAGTCTCCCGGAGATTAAAATCTTTTAAAAATGTAATGCTTGTGAAAATCTTATGTAAGCAAAGCTTTATGTTTTATTTTGTATTTTTATTCCAGTCATTTTTGGGTTGTGCTAGTAATGACAGATGGCTAGGGCAGAGCGTTAGTTGAATTCTGTAAAAAGGGGTTTTAAACCAGAAGGTGAATTCAGGCAAATCACCGGTAAGTAGCCGGGACTTTCCCCATCAGAGCTTCCACTGAAAGGATACTTACCTACTACTAATTCCTTTAATTCTCACAAAAAACCTTTTAAAGTACATGTTATTTTTATCTACGTTCTACTGAGGAAGAAGCTAGAGATTAGTGAGAAGAAACACAGCTTATAAATTGGAAAACCAGCTGGAATCCAGGTCTCTCTGGGCCCAAACACAACTTTATAATAGTCTCTGCTGCCTCTTCACGTGTAGATAACGTCAGAATTCATGGAAAAGGAAAAGAAGAGTAGATTTGCACTGTAGCATTGAACTTGGAATTGCAGTAATTGTCTCTCGGAAAACATAATGTAATCTGTGTTCATGCTACTACTCCAGTTCTAGAACTCTTCTGAAAGAATTTTCCATGAACGCTAACTGCTGAAACGCTTGCCTTTTTTTTTTTTTAAAGATTTTATTTATTTATTTGACAGAGATCACAAGTAGACAGAGAGAGAGAGGGAGGGGGAAGCAGGCTCACCGCTGAGCAGAGAGCCCAATGCGGGGCTCAATCCCAGGACCCTGAGATCACGACCTGAGCCAAAGGCAGAGGTTTAACCCACTGAGCCACCCAGGTGCCCCGAAACGCTTGCCTTTTAAAGTTTGAATGAATAGGGGCACCTGGGTGGCTCAGTGGGTTAAAGCCTCTGTGTTGGGCTCAGGTCGTGATCCCAGGGTCCTGCGATCGAGCCCCGAGTCTGGCTCTCTGCTCAGCAGGGAGCCTGCTTCCTTTCCTCTCTCTCTCTCTGCCTGCCTTTCTGCCTGCTTGTGATCTCTGTCAAATAAATAAATAAAATCTTTTAAAAAAAAATTTGAAGGAATAGTTTTTATTGTTAGTAAGTTTATTTATACCTATCCTAAGTAGCATACTTTAGGTTTTCTGACTTCCCTCATCTCTGAATATTTTTTCCTAGGGTCAACGTCTTTTTGAAAAGTTGCTCCAACTGACTTCGCAAAATATTGAAATCAAGCTAGTGAGTGATGTGACCGCCGACTCAAAGGTATTAGAAGCCTTGAGATCAAAGGGTAAGGCCAAGGTCTCTGCGCTACTCTAGCCCCGGGGTGGGGGGGGTTCCCTGAGGACAACTCTCATTATGCCTAAAATAATACGTGATTTCTTGATGGTCAGCCCATTGCACGAAGTTCACTTCTTGTTTCTCCTTTGAAAAATAACCCGATTAAAGCCTGTAAATGAGAGACCTAATTAATCAATACTACTGGGAGGTTTTAAATAGTGTTGTTGCATATTAGTTGTTGCAAAATAATCTACTAGCCATTAAAGAATAATTAACTAGAAAGAAGACTCTTTCCCTCTCTGAACATTGCAATGATATGATTCAAGAGCCACTTCTCATTCGAACAAACATTGGATTTCTGTTTTTCTCTTGCCCTTCAAATGGAAATCCTCCTCATGCCCTGTCTTCTTTTAAAATAGTATAGTCAGATGGAGGCATCTGTGAAACCCATCATAATTCCACAGAGAATATCATTCACGGGCCACTTTGCGATTTGTCTCCGAATCCCACAAAGACCAGGAGGAATCCTTAGGAAATAACTTCCTTGACTTTGCTGTGTCTTCACTAACACAACTGTTCCTTCTGAATACTTCTCACGGGTTTATCAGAATGTTGGCCGTGTATTTTACTACTGGAGCTGTAAGCCTTTGAATGGAAATGGCAGGTGTGGGCCCATGAAATGCTCGAGCTACCAGGTGTCCCCAGGAGAAGACAAGGCTTTGGCCCCAGGGAGCAACGTTGCGTCTCCTGTGTGTGCTATTTAAACATGCTGGGCGGTGTTGCTTGTTATCTTCCCTGGATTATTAAGTGAAGACACTTTCTGAAAAATGTACCAGGCTATGAAGCAAAGGGTTGAGCCCAAGTAGTCTTTCCTTCTGCAAGAGAAAAGTTGGAAGCAATAAAACCTAAGGGAAGATATAAATACACAGAATACATAAGTGTGGTCGGGCTCAGGCGTATTGTTTTTTCTATGCATGGGAAAATCAGGGTAACTTAGGAGCTACTGTTAGGCCTGAAAAGCTTCACTGTGCCACCTGAGCACAGGATAATATTTTTGAAACACTAGAAAATACATAGTTTACTATGTATTAACGTGGGTTAACGTGAATTAGAAATGTGTTCCTTTTTTAAATTGTGTTATGTTAGTCACCATACAGTACCTCATTAGTTTTTGATGTAGTGTTCCATTATTCATTGTTTGCTTATAACACCCAGTGCTCCATGCAATCCGTGCCCTCCTTAATACCCATCACCCGGCTAAGCCATCCCCCCACTCCCCTCCCCTCTGAAACTCTCTGTTTGTTTCCCGGAGTCCACAGTCTCTCGTGGTTCGTCTCCCACTCTGATTTCTCCCCCTTCATTTTTACCTTCTCCTGTTGTCCTCCATGCTATTCCTTATGTTCCACAAATAAGTGAAACCATATGATAATTTACTTTCTCTGTTTTATTTTACGCAGCATAATCTCTTCTAATCCCATCCAAGTTGATGCAAAAGTTAGGTATTCCTCCTTTCTGATGGCTGCTTAATATTCCATTGTATATATGGACCACATCTTCTTTAACCATTCATCTGTTGAAGGGCATTTCAGCTCCTTCCATAGTTTGGCGACTGTGGCCATTGCTGCTATGAACATTGGGGTGCATATCGCCCTTCTTTTCACTACAGCTATATCTTTGGAGTAAATGCTCAGTAGTGCAATTGCTGGGTCATAGGGTACCTCTATTTTTGACTTTTTGAGGAACCTCCACACTGTTTTCCAAAGTATCTGTACCAACTTGCCTTCCCACCAACAGTGTAAGAGGACTCTCCTCTCTCCATAACTTCTCCAACATTTGTTGTTTCTTGCCTTTTTGATTTTTGCCATTCTAACTGGTGTAAGGTGGTATCTGGTTTTGATCTGTGTTTTGTTTGATTTGTGTTCTTACTTTTCCTATTTAGAAAACATGAGATTGAGTTCCTACTACCTGAAAATCCATGAGCTGCCTCATTTTTAGGAACGGATTACTTAGGGCTAACTCCAAGTGCCTGTATTTGCTGATAAATTTCCCATGGTGTCTACTTCCATACAAACACACCTCATGTATACACAACACCTATATACACATAGACACCACATAAGACACAATCACACCCCACATATACACACACACCCCAATCTCTTCTTTCACCTGAAAGGAATGAAATATTGTATGACAATTGTATGTCAATTATAACAATTAGAAAAATATATATACCGACTATGAGGACTGAGGGGTATGTCAGGTGCTGCTGAATATTTGGCACCTAGGATTTTCATTCACTCTAAATGAATTTATGGGTAAAGTCCTTGACTATGCTTCTAGAGTGAACTATGAATTAAAGTTTCATTATAACTGTTGCTTCTCACAAAGAAATTTCACAAAAAATTGGGTATATTACTACAACTTAGGCTCTGTTAATGTGTGATAGGAGTTCTTACCAAAAGAGAACAGATGACTTCCCTGTACAATCGGAGAGTAACGAACAGGACCCTAATTTCCTGTCGCTATCCCCTGTGTGCTTCTAGTAGGCCTGTCTGACTTCTGTTACTGCGCCTAAATGTGGCACCACACATAGTCATCACAGTGACTGTATTTCTCTCATCCTCTGGCAGAGACAAATTAGATAATAACAGTGCATTGTAAAAATATTTGTCATGAAACCGTTTTATTTAATGAATTTTTATGAAATTATTTTCAATCTGGGTCAGAATGCCCTTCTTTAGGTTTATCATTTCTTTTTTATGGAGAGATCCTGGTCTTCTGGTGAATTTCCAGGAAGGTCTGGCCAGAAATAGTCCATGAATGACAGATAAGCATGAGACTAGCTATGAGCAACTTCAGCTGTGAGAAGTCATTGGGAATAGAAGCTGGTCACGTACCAGGTGAGAAGGGGAGAGTGAGGCCTCCCCAGGAAGTGGCAAGGATTTAGTGCAGGTGTGGGCCGGGCAAGGGCAAGGCTGGCCCACAGCGCCTCCGAACCCTTCCTGGAGGCGGGGAGATCCCAGTCGCTTACAGATCCCAGCTCCCCACACCCCCCCACCCCCGCCCGGGACTGCTCCTCCACTCACAGGACTAAGACATCAGAAAGGTCACGCCCCCAAACGCCTCACACTGTGGCCTCAGGGGTGGGGTGCATTTGAAACACTATGCTCAAGAAGTCCACGAGCCCGGGGAGGGATTTTATTTTAGACAAGGCTCCCTGTCGGTTCAAACATTTACGCCACTGACTGACCTTTAGCACTCGTCCCCGTAAGCATCTGAAATGAGCATGTTGGCTTAGCTGACGCTCTTCCTCTCCTCCCTTCCAGCCACAACCCCTTGATCTGGGTTCCCACGTTCCCAGCCACTCCTGCGCACATCCACGTCAGAGAAGGCACTCTGTTTGATGTGTGGGAAAGGACCCCATAAATGGTGTTTCATAGGAGTAAACTTGTTCTCTAAATCTGGAGGCCTTTCGGATGGCTTCACGAATTTTGTTTCTGGATTTTATCTGCTCCCAGTTGTCTTGGCTGGAGGATTAGTCAGAAAGCGATGAGGTCAGAGCTGAACGGGCAGCATATGGGAAATGGCTTCTGGCTGCCTCATTCCCCACAGACAAGCTGATGCGATGTGGGATTGTCACCAAGTCCTGCTCCTTCCTATACCCCTGCCGTACGTGGGGCCCACCATGGCTGCAGGTGACTTCACCGGCCCTGCTCTTGTCTCCCAGCAGGTGCCTTGGAAGTCCCACCTCTCATCTAACCACACCAAGGCTGTTTTGTACTATAAACCCTGTTGGGTTTGTTTTTTTTTTTTAATTTCTAGCTGTGTTTTTTAGTCATATGCAAAATATTATTTCTCAGTCATATTACTGCGTTTTTCTAAGGCTGTGTTTTTTGGAGCAGTTTGAGGTGTACAACAACATAGAGGGAAAGATATGGGGATTTCCCAGGTACCTCCTCTCCCAGCACACACACAGCCTATCCCATCACCGTCATCACTCACCAGAGGGGGAGGTGTGTCCCCAAGGATGAGCCTGTGGTAACACTTCATTGTCACCCAAAGTCCACAGTTTCCCTTGGATTCATTCTTGGTGCTATACATTCTGCGGGTTTGGACACATAGGTAGTGACGTACATCTATCATTATAACACCATACAGAGTATTTTCATGGCCCTAGAAGTCCTCTGTCCTCTGCCAGCCATCTCCCCACTTACTGCGTTTTTAATCCTTATACTCTATTATTGTTGCAATGAAATATAGAATTAATAATAACTTTTTGTCTTTCAAAACCGTAGCAATTCAGTGTATGTTCTAGAATATGATGAAAATATTTGCTCCAATAGCCTACCAAAAATTAAGACTAAAATAATGTTAAAATAGAAAATATAAATTTCACTTTGGGAAAAACCAGGCTTTGACTCGTTCACTGTCAGACAATAACTCTTTTATATCATGAGTCATTCTATTAAAGTCAGAAAGGATTGAAATCTGTGATCTAGAAATAAAGTCCACATGAATTTAAAAAAAAGTGCTTGAAACTATTCAGGGTCCGAATGTCCTTTTCACTCTCATTCATACCAATTTCTCTTGTTGGCTTTCCAGAGAGGTGAATGATAATTGTGATTTCCCAAGTACAGGCTGCTTTCCTGGGGCTCTGTTTCCTAACACATACTTTTCCTTGAACTTGAAATACCCTCTCTCTCCTCATCAATTTGCGAGCTCCTGTTCAACCCTCAAGGTCCATTTTAAGCCTCACTCATAACATCGCCTTCAGACCTCCTTTCTCTTTCACAGTTGGTCTTCCCATCTTCTTTTCCTCCATTGTGCATTCATTAGTCTTTCAACAACCACTGTTTGAATATCTGACAGGTGCCAGGAAGCAGGGCTTGAAAGCTAGAAAACCGACAAAGGCCTGAGCCTCCCGCAGATTTTGGAGAGTTTACAGTTTGCTAGAGTAGGTTGCCGTGAGTGAAATAAAATGATCAAGGAATTCTTGAAACATCCACG